AATGAGTAGCTGTCACCATCCGTCACTGCGGTAGCAATGAGTAACTGTCACCATCCGTCACTGCGGGAGCAATGAGTAACTGTCAATATCCGTCACTGCAGGAGCAATAAGTAACTGTCAATATCCGTCACTGCGGTAGCAATGAGAAACTGTCACCATCCGTCACTGCAGGAGCAATGAGTAGCTGTCAATATCCGTCACTGCAGGAGCAATAAGTAGCTATCACCATCCGTCACTGTGGTAGCAATGAGAAACTGTCACCATCTGTCACTGCAGGAGCAATGAGAAACTGTCACCATCTGTCACTGCAGGAGCAATGAGTAACTGTCACCATCCGTCACTGCGGGAGCAATGAGTAACTGTCAATATCCGTCACTGCGTAACTGTCACCATCTGCCAATGCAGTAGCAATAAGTAACTGTCACCATCCGTCAATGCAGTGAGTAGCTGTCAATATCCGTCACTGCGGTAGCAATGAGAAACTGTCACCATCCGTCACTGCAGGAGCAATGAGTAGCTGTCAATATCCGTCACTGCAGGAGCAATAAGTAGCTATCACCATCCGGCACTGCGGTAGCAATGAGAAACTGTCACCATCCGTCACTGCGGTAGCAATGAGTAACTGTCACCATCCGTCACTGCAGGAGCAACGAGTAACTGTCAATATCCGTCACTGCAGGAGCAATAAGTAACTGTCAATATCCGTCACTGCGGTAGCAATGAGAAACTGTCACCATCCGTCACTGCAGGAGCAATGAGTAGCTGTCAATATCCGTCACTGCAGGAGCAATAAGTAGCTATCACCATCCGTCACTGTGGTAGCAATGAGAAACTGTCACCATCTGTCACTGCAGGAGCAATGAGAAACTGTCACCATCTGTCACTGCAGGAGCAATGAGTAACTGTCACCATCCGTCACTGCGGGAGCAATGAGTAACTGTCAATATCCGTCACTGCGTAACTGTCATCATCTGCCAATGCAGTAGCAATAAGTAACTGTCACCATCCGTCAATGCAGTGAGTAGCTGTCAATATCCGTCACTGCGGTAGCAACGAGTAACTGTCACCATCTGTCACTGCGGGAGCAATAAGTAACTGTCACCATCCGTCAATGCAGTGAGTAGTTGTCAATATCCGTCACTGCGGTAGCAATGAGTAACTGTCACCATATGTCACTGCAGGAGCAATGAGTAACTGTCACCAGCCATCACTGCAGGAACAATGAATAACTGTCCCCCTCTGTCACTGCGGGAGCAATGAGTAACTGTCACCCTCTGTCACTGCGGTAGCAATGGGTAACTGTCACCAGCCATCACTGCAGGAGCGATGAGTAACTGTCACCCTCTGTCACTGCATTAGCAGTGAGTAACTGTCACCATCCATCACTGCAGGAGCAATGAGTAACTGTCACCATCCGTCAATGCAGTAGCAATAAGTAACTGTCACCATCCGTCACTGCAGGAGCAATGAGTAACTGTCGCCATCCGTCACTGCAGGAGCAATGAGTAACTGTCAGCATCTGTCAATGCAGTAGCAATAAGTAACTGTCACCATCTGTCAATGCAGTAGCAATAAGTAACTGTCGCCATCCGTCACTGCAGGAGCAATGAGTAACTGTCACAATCCGTCACTGAAGGAGCAATGAGTAACTGTCACCATCTGTCACTGCGGGTGCAATGAGTAGCTGTCACCATCTGTCACTGCAGGAGCAATGAGTAACTGTCACCAGCCATCACTGCAGGAACAATGAATAACTGTACCCCTCTGTCACTGCGGTAGCAATAGGTAACTGTCACCAGCCATCACTGCAGGAGCGATGAGTAACTGTCACCATCTGTCACTGAAGGAATAATGAGTAACTGTCACCATCCGTCACTGCGGGAGCAATTAGAGGCATTCAGCCTTACTGCCCCTACCTTCAGGAACTCTGCTCAAGCAGAGAGGCACTGTCTTTACAGACTTAAAAAAAACAGAACTAAAGAGGCATTCTGTCCTCTCATCTGACCATCAGAAACTCTGAACTTTTGTCTTTTTTTTAATGCACATTTTTATGTTAATGGTAAAAAAACAAAAGTGAACACTATAGTGAATATGTCATTAATGAAGGTGAGATCACAAAAATGGTCTAGTACGCTCAGTAAGAATAGCTAGCTATATGTGAATTAGCAATGCTATTGAGATAAATAAAGACAAAAACAAAACAAAGCAATGGTGTTATGAGGAAAAAAGAAAAAAACAAGAAACAAAACATGTTGATGTCTTGTGAGCTGCGAACCCTGTTTCACATAAGTACTGATAACGGCTAGTGAGCAGAGCCTAATTCCCTGCCCACCGTTCCTACGGCACATAATTCACCCGGTTCCCATGCTTGCTGTGAGTGGCCCAGAGGCACATTTAGTCCCATTCTCCCAGTACTGGCCATTTCACTGGCCCCTGGCCCCAGAAAGAGCCTACTCGCATGACCCACCAATCGGTCTTTTTCGTTTCCGCAATTCACGTTTTGTGTAGAGCGTTTATTCCCTCTCTGGGCATGTGAGTTGTGCACTGGGGTTTGTCCCTCCAGCCGGGGTAACAGTTGGGTGCAGATAAAGGCCTCAAAGACAGCACTCTGTCCAGGGTCCGTGGCATCTTCTTTTGCTTCTTAGGGCGCATGTGAGTGGTGAGTAGTCCCCTGACAGCTGTGGCCCCAATTCTTTGGTGAACAGGAGGCAAGTATTGCGGTGTGCTTTTGTGGCGTCTTGTCCCGGTATCAGGATGACATGCCCGGCTTAAATTCAGCCTGAAGTTGGTAAATATTTGGTCGAACAATGCCAAGCTGGACTCCAGCGGACCTGGTGTAGTGGGGACATGCAGCTTGGTTGCCATCTTGGCAGAAGCAGTGTTGAAGTCCGTGTGCCGTTGCGGTGTTGTTAGGGCTCGGACGTTTCCAGCAGCTGGTTAACCAAGCTGATTAGCTGGTGCTGGGATATCCCACACCGGCGGGGGGTAAGCAGGGAGAGCGGCCGCCTCTCCACCGCCTGCACTTCCAGGTATGCCGCAGAGTTCCCCCAAGTTCTGGTTGGCACGCGTGAGCCGAAAAACTGCAGAATTCTGCTGAGGGGTATCTGGCTTGTCTCCAGATTGAGGGTTTCTTAGAGGAATAATCATAGGAATTGTCAAGATTAAAGTTTAGCACACGGAGCTTCCTCCACATGCGGCCAGACAGCATGGCAGTCAGGCCCCGCCCCCCTCTTTTATGTCTTTATGTTTGTATATTTGTAAAGTGCTTTGAGTCTCACAGGGAGAAAATATTATTTTGTCTTTGTCCTCGTGTGATAGTGCCAATCTCAGCCAACATCAATAGGAACCTACTCACATTCTATAGGTGACCCATATAGCACATTGATGGTATACTAGTTTTTACCAATGAAAATAAAATGTCCGTCCTGACTTTGTGTAATGATATGAGCATGGATGTGATATTTGTCATATCTTATATTCAATGTCCACGTGCGTCTACTGACTAGAGGAAAAGTTATGGATATTATGGGCCTTTTGTACATATTTTTCATGGATCTTAGAACCTCATTCAGAGCTTTTGATAAAGCATGTTTTGATATCTTTGATGTGATGTACAATGCTTACACATCCTAGGTATGTCATGGTCATTCATGCTTGAAGCAACTCTGCCATCCTTTGGGGTCTTCTGGCGTGTTTTGCAAAGACCACTGACGGTGACATTACTGCTTAGTTTGCAGCGGCTCTAGTGTGCAGTGGAAGGTAGGTATTCTTACATACACCACCATTGCCATTTTCTTTCTTTACATACTGGTGTCTGTGCTTGTTTGTACATATAGGGGAGTTTGCCAGGGGCCCTGCAAAATGCTTCTGTATGGGGCCCACCGATTTCTGATGGTAGCCTTGTTCGTATTTATGAGCTTGCTAAGATAACTTTGAGGTTTATGACATTTATAATTGCTAAAGATAATTTTAGTTTAGATCGCAGATTCTGTTCTGGTGTACTAACTGGGTTTTTATGCAGCACGGAATGGAATCATTATGCCCATAACCCATTCAAGGCCACTCCCTTATGTTGTTACTCTTGACTTTTCTAAAAAGTTTATATGCTGCAAACGGTTTAGACTTAAGCTGCACCAGATCATCTTCCTTCTAATTAATTTACATAAACTACTAGACAAAATTTTAGTTTTTCCCTCTGGTTACGTCTCACTTGCAAATAAAATCAACATCTGGTTGCTGTCTCCTAACCATCAATCATTTATATCATATGGCACATTACACCCTGTTCCAAATTATTATGCAAATTCTACTTAAGTGTCACAAAGATTAAATATTTTGTTTTTCAATTTAACTCATGGATGGCATTGTGTCTCAGGGCTCTTTTGATCACTGAAAACAATCTCGGACACCTGTGATAATTAGATTGCCAGGTGAGCCCAATTTAAGGAAAAACTACTAAGGGAGGGTGATTAAACAGAGCACCATTTTCATGCAGTATGGGGAAGAAAAAGGATCTCTCTGCTGCCGAAAAGAGTAAAATAGTTCAATACCTTGGATGAGGTATGAAAACAGATATTTCATGAAAACTTAAGCGTGATCATCGCACTATTAAGAAATTTGTGGCTGATTCAGAGCACAGACGGGTTTGTGCAGATAAAGGCACATTGAGGAAGATTTCTGCCAGATCCATGCATCGGATCAAGAGAGCAGCTGCTAAAATACCATTACATAGCAGCAAACAGATATTTGAAGCTGCTGGTGCTTCTGGAGTCCCACGGACATCAGAGTCTTGCAACTGTGCATAAACCTTCTATTCGGCCACCACTAACCAATGCTTACAAGCAGAAATGGCTGCATCGGGCAGAAAAATACATAAAGACTAATTTTCAAAGAGTCCTGTTCACTGATGAGTGCCGTGCAAACCTGGATGGTCCAGATGGATGGAGTAGTGGATGGTTGGTGGACAGCCACCTTGTTCCAACAAGGCTGCGATGTAAGCAAGGCGGTGGTGGAGTCATGTTTTGAGCCAGAATCATGGGAAGAGAGCTGGTCGGCCCCTTTAGGGTCCCCGAAGGTGTAAAGATGACCTCTGCAAAGTATGTGGAGTTTCTGACTGACCACTTTCTTCCCTGGTACAGAAGGAAGAACTATGCTTTCCGTAATAAAATCATCTTCATGCATGACAATGCACCATATCATGCTGCAAAGAATACCTCTGCATCAATGGCTGCTATGGGGATAAAAGGAGAGAAAGTCATGGTGTGGCCTCCATCCTCCCCTGACCTCAGTCCTATTGAGAACCTTTGGAGCATCCTCAAGCAAAAGACCTATGAGGGTGGGAGGCAGTTTATATCCAAACAGCAGCTCTGGGAGGCTATTCTGACATCTTGCAAACAAATTCAAGCAGAAACTGTCCAAAAACTCACGAGTTCAATTGATGCAAGACTTGTGAAGCTGCTATCAAATAAGGGGTCCTATGTTAAAATGGAACGTGATCTGTTAAAATGTTTAAAAAGTTAAAATGTTGTTATAAGTTTGATTGAAATAGCTTTTGATTTCAGTAAATATGCTGCAAACACAACAAATGACAATTTTCAGTTCTTTACAACCTATAAAGTGTTTTGAAACCTATGGTGCGTAATAATTTGGAACAGCGCATTGTAAGTTTTTTATGTTTAAAAAAATACTGTTATCATTAGGAGGTTTGTTTAATAAAATTAGAATTGTACTCTTAATAGTTGATAACATGAGAAATATGCTGACTGTTATTTACATTAATTATTTAGGTAAATGAGAAAAATATAATTTGCATAATAATTTGGAACAGGGTGTATATATATATATATATATATATAGCTTATTAAAACAATCCTGGTTTTCTGAAATGGGTCTTACATCTGACATACCTCTTCAACACTAAATAAACAAGGTTACTCACTAAGTTTTGAATAGATCCAGGATTGATGGTTTAAAAATTTACTAAAACAGTTCAGGGATTAATATACTGTGATATCTCATGCATTTTATTGACATTTCCCTGTTCAGTATTGTGCACATTTTTTCACATAAAGGTTTCAAGGGAAATAATTATTTCCCAAGAATTTTAAAAATAATCAATTTCTAAAAGGTTATTTTCATAGGCAGGAGTGACTCATGTGTCTTGTATTCTCAAGTGAATCACCAAACAATAATTTGAAAGGAACCTTATGAATAAAAAGTTTTATAAGAACTGTGTTGCGTTAACATTAAGGCAACGTGTGTTGTGTTAACACTAAGGCAGTTAGAGAAGGTAGCATTTTTACAAGATAAATGTAATATAAGTTAAAAGGAATGCCTGGGTGAGTAATTTATTGTAGCTTTATCTTTGTGAATTCCTCTTTACCTAGAATTTGCTTCCTTGCCCATTACACCCGTGTGATTATAAACTACTTCCCAACATCAATCTAACATTTAACATTTCTCAAATACTTTGTCACGCTGTCCTGCGGTGGCTCTTTAGATGTCAGTGTTGTCAAATGATGGATGAGTCAGTTGAACTACTGATATGTAATTAGAATTAGTCAATTAATAGGTTTGTGTGTTGATGAAATCATTTCATAATATATCAAGCACTATTTCAACAAGAAGGATCACAGAGAGTGCAGTTGTGACCAGACCTTCTAGTCAAGGAAACCCAATAACTATTTGTTCCTTCAACACTTTTACCTGATTGGCTTACAAACAGAAAGCTTTTAATGGGTGGTTGCAGGATAATTCTCCATTGTAAAAAGATAGGATTTGCATAAAGAATCCCTGAACATAACAGTGAATCCAGCTTACTGCTGTGACCTGTACGCTCTCTAGATTGAGACGAGATGTAAAGACAAGGGGATGTTTCAAAATGCATGCATTCTTATTGGAACTTTTTATTTTAATATTTTTTTATTCCAACATTAGTGTTCTTTTGCTATTTAGTGTATATATACTAAGGTTTTGAGATATATTCTAACACCAGTGCCAGATTGATGGGATAATTAATTAAACCCTGAACTTTTGGACCAAAAAGTAAGTACTTTATAGCAATTTTGAGCGATATATTTTAAGGAAACGTATTATCCGTTGAACTGTGCAAACCTCCTCATCTGAAACTGGCTAAGAATATTCCCAATGTGGAAATTTCCTGAAATGCCCCACACTTGCTCTCAATGGCCTGACATAACTTAATATGTGGCTAAGTTACTGAAGCACTGCTATGTAATGATGTCCTGAACAAAGGTCAGCTCAGTGCAGAATTTAGCTAAACAAAAACATTCACAATATGAAAAACAATGTCCGTGTAAGTCATAAAGGAATACTCAAAACACAATAACCACCAGGGGATAGGCTACTATGCTCCTTCCAATCAATGACAACAAATGCTTTTTCCCTGGTCTTCCAAAATAAGTGTACCACATGTGAGTCTCAACATCATTTGAAATAACATTTTTATCACCTTTATCACACAAAAAATGGCAGAAATTGCAATTACATAGCTGTGAAAAGTGGACAGGCTGTGGAAATGTGATGGAAAAGAAAATGGACCAGTAGCTGTTCTGGTGAACCCCACATTTTCTTCCTTTCAATGTAGTCTATTTGTTGTATGGTTTATTTGTTAAACAGGGGTAAAGTCTTTCACGGCATTAAGGTAATTGAGAATGGATTTCATTTGTATCTGTGTTATTAAACGTCCAAGTAATTTGAAAACTGGCTATGCACTCATTAACACGGTATGCAGTAGAGCTTACAAACATAACAAATGTACAAATGCTCCCGCAAGGATAACATTTGTATTTTTACCCATATCTATCTATAAGGGGAATGTACATTGTTCTGGTAGAATGTTGTAAATTGTCAATATGGCTGTCTGTCTGTCTATCTGTCCTTTGAATTATACAGCACATATATCTATTTGCAGAATGCTATGCTTTTTAAATATGATTTTACATTGATAGTGATCCTGTAGGACGTCATGCTTCCTTAATTTATCACCACTCACTGAACTCACGCGCATGTTCGAGGTGGTGTAAGAATAAAAAGCATGCTTTTAAGTCTTTACTGAAACCATAGTAAAACACCCAAAACTACCATAGTAAAACACCCAAAACTACACTACGTTTTAAAGGTTCTCCTTTCAGAATGAGTACACGAAAGCACCATGCCCCCAAATAACTAAAAGGTATTTGAGAGGCTCACTTCTCCAGCACCTAAAACAAAGACCCATAACAAATTGTGCAGTGGTCCACATGGCACTCTAATAATCAAGCAGGTCATAGGTAAATGGCCCACTTCTAAAGTAAATCAAAGGCGATGCCCTATTTGCAGGTGGGATTTAGTTAGCAGTCTCTTCTTTCTTGACCCTCTACTGATGTGGGATGGGAAGATATTGGACACATCAGAAGGGCTAGTTGTCATTAGGCTTAAGCAATCGAAACTTAACACAATGAGTTTCCAATTTAAGAGACGTTTTGTAAAAAAGGGTTTTTTACAGTTTTGTTGGTGGTTCACCTAGCATGAATAAATAGCATAATTATCGTTGGTACTTCCTCTTTCCTTTCTCTGTTTCTGCCTTGTACTGCTTGGTGCCACGTCTTTCCATTTTTAAAGGAACACTCATATCTTATACAAATAATGGTGTTTGATAAGCAAAATATCTTATTATTTATGCTATTTGCAGTTTAATAAAGTTTCCCTTGTATACAATTGAAATAGTTGTATTAATACGTAGTTACTTCTTTACATACTATAAATAACCAGATGGAGATTAAACAAGAAAGGTATTAACTGGACCACACGTTTCGAAGTTTCTTGCAGTTGCTCTTCCTCTACAACACTTTACAGGTGATGCAATGTTAGCGAGAGGGAATAGGTTGGCCCTTCAATAATTAAAATAATAACACTTATTGTAGTTATTGAATGTGTTCTTTGACAGACAGCAGCATTCACCAACTGACATATTCACAAAGGTTACTTAACATCTTTGGAAGCAGCAGTCAGTGTACACAGTGTATATTGCTTTAGGGGCTTGGAGTAGTCATTTAAGCCTCAAATGTGTAAAGTCATTTTCTTCACTTTAAGGCTTATTTACTAAAGTGAGGATTGTCAGGAATTCAAAGTGAATTCAAATGTAAGGCCGGAGTGGACAAACTGGTAGCATAGTTCACTTGGGGATTTTTTCCAGCTCTGCTACTGATACCTTAAATTCGAAATTTACTTTTAATTCCAAACAAGTCTCAGTTTAGTAAATAACCCTGTTTGTCTTCTTTTTACTGAAAAAAAAATTAAATCAAATGTGAATGAAAAGTTTAACCTTGTTTTTGTGGTAAAGTCAGTATTAACCAAAGTTCTGCAGGTGCTTCTGCTGCACTGACCTATGAGAAGCATTGGATGCACATACAGTGCTCTCTTTGCGTGTGCATCACATACTGAATGTTCATCTATGAAGACCAATGGATTAGATTACAGATGAAGGAAGTGATGCCTCCTTCCTGACTCCATCGGCTCTGGAAAATGGTAAGTATGAACACTTTCCAAACTTTTTTATGTCAAAGCAGAAGTGAGGCCTCTCGTAAAGAAGCATTGATTTCAATGCTCCTCTACAATAAGCTTTGCTGGTGGATTGCGGAGACTGCCGCGGCTAGGTAACTGAGGGTGGTTGCTTGTAATACCTTGAAGTTGGCTTGTTGTTGTTTCACATCTTTTGAAAAGTGGAGTTCCTGTGAGTTTGCAATACATTGACAGTTGTTGCTCAGCTTACTGCAGTTCACTGAGTGAGGCGAGTGGTGACTTGGTAAAATGATCAGTAAGTGATGGTGGATTTGGGAGTGGGGCTTTGGAGTGATGGAAGGGATAATGGAATAGGGGTAAGGTAGTTATGGGGCTGGAATAAAAGGACACTTTGTTGCCTAAATAAAGAAAATAACAATGACTGATTTGTAGATATACATTAAATTATGCATGTTTTCAATGGGAGTATAACTCTATCTATAACAAGCAGATGTCTTGTCTATTTCTATTGAAATCTGCACTTTTTGAAAAAAAAAAAGACACACCACTTAATACATAGCATATTGCAGCTTGCATTAAAGGGTGTTCTGTAAAGTACAGTTATCTAAATCAGGGCTTCTCAAACTTTTATGAGCCGAGACCCACTTTTGAAAACGGTACTTTTTTGAGACCCACTTGCTTTTAATGCATATTTTAAAAATGAACACCATGGCAATCAGCTTTAGATGCATAAAATTGGCACACTGCGGCATTCAGT